CGGGCATTGGCCCTCGTGGATAACATGCCGCTGGCCCTTGGGGCCACCAAGGGTAGGGCCAATTCTGAACACCTCCATCGGGCTCTTCGGAAGGTTGCCGCCCTCTCTCTGGCCACGGGGACCAAACTGCACGTTCGGTGGTTGCCCAGCGAGTTCACCCCCGCGGACGAGCCCTCCAGGGGAAAGAGTGGTTGGTTCGTGGGGCCCTACTGCAGCCACCCCGCGGCCCGAACGCGGGAGGCCTCCCAGCTCTTCGCAGGCGAGGCCACGCCTCGCCCTGGTGGGCTGGCCCCCGCGGCCGCGCCAGCAGCAGCTTCGCCGGCCCTGCTGGTGCCCTCCCGCGATGCCCCAGGCGGTGGCGCGGCGGCCGGCTGCGCGGCCGGCCGCCCTGCAGGCCCGAGCCGCGGCAGCGAGCCTCATACGCTCGACGCGGCAGCCCCTTGGGCGGCTCACGCTTCTCGAGCACGTGGCGGTGTCCCCAGATGCGGAGATGGCCTACCGAGCGCTCCTCCAGGGCTTTGTGGATTTCTGCCATCACACGAGCCTCGACTGGTGCGACCTGGCGGGGCTGGACCAGGCGATCTCGGCCTACATGGACAGGCTCTACCTGGACGGCCACCTACCCGACAAGGGCAGCAAGCTGCTGGCGGCCCTGGCCCACTTCGTGCCGGAGCTCCACAAGTCGCTGAAGGTGCGGTTGCCAAGGTCATCCAGGGCCTGTGCGTCGTGGAAGAAGAGGGTTCCGGGCTCCCAGCGCCTGCCCCTGCCAAAGGTGGCGGCGCTCGCCATTGCGGGAGCCCTGAGCTTCTTCGGCCAGCCTCGCATGGCCATCTGGATCGCTCTGACGTTTGTCACGTACCTGCGCCCCAAGGAGGCCTTCAGGCTCGGCCCAGCCCACCTGGTGAGGCCATGTCCTTCGGCCGGCCCGCAGCACGTGCGTTGGGGGGTCCTCATCAACGACTCGGGCGGAGAGGCCGGCAAGACAGGCGAGTGGGACGGGTCGGTGACCATCGATCTGGACGCCTGGTTGCTGGACGCCCTGAGCGCGCTGAAGGCGGCCACCGACGGCCAGAGCAACCTGTGGGACTTCACGCCCGCCTCGCTGCGCCGGGAGTTCAACCGCTGCGCGCAGCTCCTGGGGCTGCTGCCGCTCAGGCCGCACCTCTACAGCTTGCGGCACGGAGGGGCCTCGGACGACCTCGCGACAAAGCGGCGCACCCTCGCGGAGGTGGAGCGCCGCGGCCAGTGGCGGGACCACTACGGCAAGGAGACGAGGCTGCTCATGGAGATGGCCAAGGTCCCGCCGGCGGTCTACACCTTCGGCCAGGCCGTGCAGGGCAACTTCTCGCTGGCCCTCCAGACTCAGCATCGCGATCGGAGGATCTGGTCGAAGGTGCCTCTGGAGATCAAGCACAGCCTCGAGGCCGCGGGCACAACCCGCGACGGCGAGGCGCCGCCCCCTCGGCGCCAGCGAAGTCGATGAGCTGTTCGGATGTCGAGGCCTGTTCGTACTTACATCAGCTCTTTCAGCGAGAGCGACGGAAGGCCAGTAAGTTCACACGCTGCGTATTTTTGGATATCTTCTCCGGCTGTGGGCGTATTCCAGAGACTCTACGCAAGCAAGGGTATGGGGCTGTCTCTCTGGATATCTTGAGGGGCTCTTGGGAGGACGTCACACGACCTTGTGTCTTGAAGGTCCTGGAGGGCTGGATTCGGTCTCGGGCCGTTATTGGCATCTGGCTGGGTACTCCCTGTACTACTTTCAGCAGAGTCCTTCGGAAGCCTTTCAGATCCGCGGAACATCTTCGGGGTCTGCCACAGCTTTCGGAGGCCGAGCTGGCCCGCCTGCAGTCAGGAAACGCCACTTTCAAGGCCGGCATGAGGATCGTGCAGGCCGCCCTTGCAGTCGACTGCCCTGTATTTCTTGAGAGCCCGCGCGCGTCTCAGATTTGGCCCATGCCGCCTGTCGTGGAGTTCGGAAAGCACCCATCGCTTCTGATTCACAAGTGTGATTTCTGCCAGTATGGGACGCCTTGGAAGAAGGCTACATCAATAGCATCGTGGAACGCCCCGCTGCTCCCCGCCTTAAATCAATCGTGCCGGAGCCGCAATCACATATGTACAAGATCCAAGCAGCCCCACATCATCCTCTCGGGACTCGCCCCTGGCACGAATAAGATGTGGACTCAAGTAGCTACCCCATATCCCCCAAAGTTCGCCCTGGCTGCCGCCTCCTCCTTAGTTAGCATAGCAGAGTCTCTTCGGACCTCGAGACTCCAGAAGGTCGCTGGAATCGCTTCTTGATTATGGCTTTTATTTTTCTTTTGGTGTTTCTCGAGAGCTCCGAGGTCTGGGGGCGCGCGGCCTGTCGGCCAGTTCTACCTTCGGGATCGGGACCACGTTTAACCTTGTTATCCTGTCTCGGCTGGCGTCGGCCTCGCCACTGCACAGTCGCTGGCCCCGCGCTCCGCTGGGCTCGCCGCCTCGCCCCGCATGCGCAAAATAACATCGTCTGGCCGCGGGGGGCTCGAGGGCAGCGCTGTGCAGTTTTCAGAACGGGAAGCAATGAGCGAGAAGAGAGCGGCCGCACGGCGACCCTTGTCTGCCGCCGTCCTTGCTCAAGCTCCCACCATCCTGCCCCTATCTCCTCCTTTCTTTTTCTTCTCTTTCACCCGTTCTGGCACGGAGCACGTTTAACCTTGTTATCCTGTCTCGGCTGGTGTCGGCCTCGCCACTGCACAGTCGCTGGCCCCGCGCTCTGTTGGGCTCGCCGCCTCGCCCCGCCTGCACATCGTAACATCGTCTGGCCGCGGGGGGCTCGAGGGTAGTGCTCCTCCTCCTCCTCCTCCTCCTCCTCCTCCTCCTCCCCCTCCTCCCCTCCTCCTCCTCCTCCTCCTCCTCCTCCTCGTCCTCCTCCTGCTCCTCCTCCTCCTCCTCCTCCTCCTCCTCCTCCTCCTCCTCATCCTTCTCCTCCTCCTCCTCCTCCTCCTCCTCCTCCTCTTCCTCTCGCGTTCAGCTACAGGTAGACTGCATGTTAAGTGCAGCAAGGGGGTGCTTTGGGCAGTTCCGTCTTTGTAGCCAAGTGGCTCAAGATCAGGTGCCCGCCCACCTTGCAGACGCCCCTTCGACACTTGCGGTCGACGCTTAAGGCTGGCGGCCGCGAGCGTGCCACAACGCACCCGCGCGCTTGCGCGAGCAAGGCGCACGCGCGGGCCCTCACGCAAGGAGCTCGGCGCGCCTCGCCGCTTTGCCAAAATAGCGCTCCCTTTATCTCCCCTCGGCTGCCTCCTTCCTCCCCCTCCTCGTCCTCCTCCTCCTCCTCGTCCTCCTCCTCGTCATCCTCCTCCTCCTCGTCCTCCTCCTCCTCCTCCTCCTCTTCCTCCTCTCTCGTTGAATGCGCGCGTGCCTCAGTTAACCTCGAGTTGTCGTTTCTGCGTTTGGGGGGCGTCGCCCCCTCCCCCCTCGGCCCCGCCGTCCTCTTCGTTTTCGTTCCTTTGTCGTCCTCTGTGGGCCGTCCCCGCGGGGGCGGGGCGCGCGATTTCCGAGGCCCCTCCTGGGTCTCGGAGGGCGCGTGCTCCGGCCGCGCCCTTTTGCGTGATGCGCGGGTGCATTATTGCGAAATCATGGCCATCAACAGCACGATCACTAACATCGTCGTCATCATCGCCACCACCGTCACCGTCATCACAAACATCGCCATCATCATGTACGTCATCATTTTCACCGCCACCGCTATGTCAGCATCACCAGCATCATCATCATCAGCAGCATCATCATCTTCACCATCATCCTGATCATCATCGTTTTCCTCGTGGAGACGAGGAGGTGGAACTTAAACAGAAGGCGATACAGGGAGGGAAGGAGCGAGGGAAGAGGGGGGATGGGAGAAGGAGGAGGCGGAGGAGGGGGGAACAAGTGAGGCGGAGGATGGGGATGATGATGATGACTATGACGATGATGATGATGGTGATGATGATGATGATGATGATGATGATGGTGATGGTGATGATGATGATGAGGATGAGGATGATAATGAGGATGATGAGGATGCTGATGATGATGATGATGATGATGATGATGATGATGATGATGGAGGAGAAGGAGGAGGAGGAGGAGGAGGAGGAGGAGGAGGAGGAGGAGGAGAGGAGGCAGAGGAGGAGGAGGAGGAGGAAGAGGAGGAGGACAAGGAGGACAAGGAGGTGAGGTGGCGGAGGACATGGGCGACATGCAGGTGAAAAAAAAAGAGAATTCCCCCACACCAGGGCGGATCCTCCTGGGTTGCCCGCAGGAAGAGAGCAAAGGCTGGCCACGCAGCGGGGAGTCGTCTCGTTGGAGAGGCCCGCGCTCTCCAGCCCAGCCAGCCCGTGGACATCCCGTCCAAAGCAGTCGCGCGGGTATATAATATGATGTATGATATTCTCTCGTTGCGAAGCTAGCAGGACGGAAACCTTTGCTATGTCCAGGTTCTGGGAGCGTTCGATGGGCCCCGGGACCATCAAGAACGATCCAGGGTGAAGAACCCGTCCCAGGGAAAGGCCCCAGGGAGCCACGCGCGAAAACAAAATCACGACGGAGGATATCGGGAATTGGGGACGCGCGCAAGGGAGTGGCGCGAGGGGTACAGCCTTCTCAAAAAACGGGAGGTATTTTTGGGAGGTGGGGCCTTCGCAGAAGCCCCCCGTTCGGCTTCCAAGAAGCATTGCGTGTGAGAAACCTCCTTCTAAGGCCTCCCGCCCTCCCAGAAGGCCGCCCACCTCGCGCCGCCCCCGCGCGCGCGCCGCCAATATCACGTGCGTGCGCGTGCGCGGGCCCACTCGTACACATTGGGCGCTCCAGGAAGGGTTTCGCCCTCGAGAGACCGAGAGGCCGCGCTGTCTTCCTCGGCGGCAGGCGGTGGCAGGGCGGCGGAAACTGTCGGGAGGTAAAGCGACGGCGGCCCCGCCAGCGGAAGCTGGCGGAAGCAAAACATGCGCCCCAAAGAGATGTCAGCAGAGGGGTCCTGGAAGGCTTGGATCGAAGAAAGGTGGCACCTCTGGAGGGGGTAACTTTTACTTCCTCCGAAGAGATGCCAACTCATTCGACTCTCGAAGGCGAGGCCTTTTTTCTGGAATGTCTCATGCTTGGATGCTTAGTTTCCATGGGGTGCCACACTCGTTCGGGCCTCTCTCGCGAGTTCTCATGCGCCTACCGCAAAGAGCATGTTCCTGATGGTAGTAAGTGGCACATGCCGTTCAGCCTCCCTCTCATGAGGGTGGCATGGTAGGGTGCGGTAAAGCTCGGAGTCACGGAATGTCACGAAATCCGTTACATTGAACACAGCACATTAGTACTGTCAAATATTCGTTGGAGGGTTTGATGCGAAGTTATGATGACATCTTGTCAGGCGTCGCTGCGTGTATCACCGTGTTTGCTTTGTTCCCCAACCCTCCTGTTTTGCCGCGTTGCGTCTTTTGTCCTTCTAGGTCGTCTTGGTTGGCGAGACGGGCACGTTTCAGCGCGGCCGCTTGGAAGAGTGGATGGCGCTGTCCGCGAGGCACGCGCCCCCTTCGAAGCTGGGCAAGCGGCACGTGCGAGCGGCCCCAGGTGGCCTCCAGGACGCCTACATCGGCGCGGTCCGGTGGTGCCTCACCAGCGCAACCCTGAAGTCGAGGACGTGGGGGCGGCGGGCTTTCAGACTGTGCGGTGCCTGCGGCGGGGGTGGTGGTTAAGGAATGTGCCCAGGAGGATTCAGAACTGGGGGATTCCTTGTCTGAAAAGGGCGACAGTGATATCCATGGCCAAGCCTCACTTGGTGCTTCACAGTCTTTCAGACCCGAGATTCTTTATTCAATATTTCCTGATCCAGTGCCCTCACAGTGTTGCAGCATGTTATCGGTCGGGGAAAAGGAGTACCCGGAGAGCCGGTCCTGCGAGGAGTACGGCTGAGTTCCTTCTCGCGGATTTCGGCCCCCTGTGCATACGATTTTCAGTTGCATCCCGAGGAGCCACGCGCGGGCTCCAGACGCAGCTTCCGCAGGCTCCGCCAGCACCGCCTATGAGGAGCGGCCGCGGGGCGCGGGCGCGGCGCTGCCAGGCTGCCAGGGCGACATCCAGGGGCCGCTTGTCGTAGCAGTGCGGGAGGCGCACGAGAGCGCAGAGGGCCTGCTGCTTGTGGCACGGGTGGTCGCCGAGGCTGAGGTGCGCGACGGAAGAGAACGGAACCGCCTTCGCTGACATCCGCGCGTAAGTTGCTTGCGTGAAATGGCGCGGAAGTGCCCTCGTTTCCAATGACGCGAGCCGCGCTGGCGGCCACGTAAGCCGTGGCGTAAGGTTGGAGCCCGTTTCTTTATTGCTTGGGGCATGACGGGCGTCATGGCCCCCGCTCCCCCCCCCCCCTATGACGTAACGCTCCCCCCCCCAGTGTGCTCCGGGCACTGCCGCCGTACGCATTGGGATCCGCGTAGGTGTCCGCGTAGGAATCCGCATAGGAGTCTGGTCCGCAGTCGTCGTCGTCGTCGTCGCTTGTGGCTTGTCGCTCGTCGCTCATAGTCGTCGTGCGCGCGGACGCGGCTGAAGCCTGTTTCTTTATTCCGGGCCGATGACGGCAATCATCTAGGGGGATTTGCACCACAACGCCAGTGTACACCACTGTGCCCGTGTGCACCACAGCGCCTGTGTACGCCACGCCGCCTATGTACACCACAGCAGCCGCGTGCAAAACAGCGTCAGTTTGTGCCACCGTGCCTGCGGGCACAACAGCTTTTGTGCACACCGCACACCACAGCGTTTGCGTACACCACATCAGCCGTGTGCAACACAGCACCAGTGTACACCACAATACCTGCGTGCATTGCAGTGCCTGTGTACACCACGGCGCCTGTGTGCACCACAGCAACCGTGTGCAACACAAAACCATTGTTGCATATAGAATGTTAGAACAAATCTTTGTGATAGATTGGAGCGCTTGTGGAGTCCACTGAAAACAATATGACATAAACGTTATGGACAACGGAGCGCCGCTGGAATCTGCGAGTCCTCCCGAGTCCGCCCGCATCACCCTAACTCCTCCCATCTGCGTCCAGGAGGCTCCAGCTAAATTTGTCGTCCGAAAACCAAGTGGACCGATTCAATACACCATTCTGCAGTGCGCGCTGAGATGCGCATGTGCGCTGTAGCGCCAACCCGCACGACAGGGGATAAGGAGGAGGAGGAGGAAAAGGAGGAGGTGGAGGTGGAGGTGGAGGAGGAGGGAGGAAGGAAAAACGTCGCATTCGATTATCAGCACAGCACTTTCCTGGCGTGGCGCCTAGTTGCCCGCAGCAGATCCTCACGCACATGCTCCTTTTACCTGTCCTATGCACGCAGGCATTGTGGTGTACACCAGCGCTGCATTGCACGCGAATGCTGTGGTGCATACACGCGCTGTGGCGTGCACAAGCGCTGCGGTGCACGCAAGCATTGTGGTGTACACAGGCGCTGCGTTGCACATGGTAGCTGCGGTGTACACATGTACACTGGCGCTGTAGTGTACGCAAGCATTGTGGTGTACACATGCGCTGCGTTGCACACGGCTGTTGCGGTGTGCGCAGCCGCAGTGGTTTGCACGCGCGCTGTGGTGCACGCGAGAGTTGTGCCACCTACATGCTGCTTGCGTCGTCGTCATCGTCGTCGTCGCTCGTCGTTCGTCGCGTCGCGCGCGCGGGCGCGGTTGCGGTGCCGGAGCCACACGGTGGGGGGGGCGTTGCGTCATACCCCCCTTCGCCCCCCCCAATGACGCCCGTCATCGCCGAACATAAAGAAACGCGCTCTTACTATGTCATCGTGCCTGAGATCCGTTTCTTTGCGTCGCTCAGGTATTGTTACAGGCCCTCGGGCACCGGGCACATGGCATTGTTGGAGGTGCGGAGAGCTCAGCAAGGCTCCTGCTGCACCGGCAGCATCCCGCCTTGCAGGGGCAGCATCACCATGAAGAAAGCGGGTCCGGAGGGAAGTGGGCCCTAGAGGTTTGGGGCCGGTTTCGATCTCTTGGGGCCTTCCCTCGGCCCTTGGGCTATCAAAAAATCACTCAGGAAGAAGAGCTGGTCCCAGTGGAAGGACACAGGGTCCAGGACCCGTTCCCCTCAGGACCCGTTTGTTTCATGGCAGCGGCAGAAGTGGCTCCCAGGCCCTGGCACACTGCTGCAGGTGCATGGCTTTGCGATCGCTGCTGCGGGCCGCCATGGCCGCGGTCCCCTGCTGCTGCCGTCCGAGGTCCGCGTGGTGTCCAGCACCGGGTGATCGGCCGTGAGGGCTTGCACAAGCTTTGCGGTCCAGCTACTGTCGCAACGAGCGCCCAGTGGTCGTGGTGTTGCGCGGCCACGCGTTCGCCCACCCCCTGTCGCATCTCCCCATCCATGCCCCCATCCTCATTTCTCTCCCCTGCGCTCCCCTTGCCCTCTTGGCTTGCCTGCCGTCCTCGCGTACGCAGACCAACCGTCCAGGCAGGATCGTGTTCGCTACCAGACGTTAGGACTGTTGTACCTCGACGTCCTTCCATCTTCGCTCTTGGCAGAGCAGTCCTCCCCGCCCGTGCGCGCAGCGCAGCGGTCGCCAGGCCCTCTTTGCCTCGAGCATGTCGCAGTGGTTGATGGTTGATGGGGAAGCCCAACAGCCCTGCTGAGCGGACGTGCCGACGCATTCGAGGAAGAAACGCCCCCTACTGCTTCCTATCCAGCAATCCCCGTCGTCCTGTCGATCATCTTCTGTGGACAGTCGGTCGCCCTTCTACCCGAGTGCGAGCCAGCGCCACGCTGCGCCATCGATAAAGAGGAGAGCCGCGGCAATTCGATCGTCAATGGTAATGCTAGGCAGAACTTGCGCCTGTGAAAATTATGGGAATCGGTAGAATCCAAATACGCAGGAGCCATCGACGTCGCTCATCGTTTTACGCAGGAGGAGGAGGAGGAGGAGGAGAAGGAGTGGAGGAGGAGCTCGAGGTGGAAACGACGGAGGAGGGCGAGGATGAGGAGGAGGCGAGTGTGGATGCCGCCCTGGATCCTGATCCTCAGACGTCCGCAGAGGCCACATGGAACCCCCACGAGGCCAAAAAACATTAGCCTGGCGAAAATCCAACCCTGTGCAGGTGCGAGTACCGCAAGGCAGATGAGAAGAGAGAGAGGGATGAGCAAAAGGAAAGGGGTCACGATGAGGTATGGGGTCCCAATGGAGGCCGTCTTCGAGCTTGGTGTTCGTCATGTCAGTGTTATGTGTTAGTTTGTTCGTGCTAGTCAGCACTGCCAAGCATTGCCTGCCTAATCACAACCCCTCGGTTCGACAAACAAAACGAGCACGTTGCCGTTGACGCCATCGGGGTGAAGATTTCGTTGTCGCTACGACTCAATGGCATCATCATCGCATTACTTAGCACGTCCAGTTTTTATGTATCCCGCAATGCGGTTTCAAATGTGTGCCAGCACAACCGAAACCGTTGTTGGTGGATTCCGAATCCAATGTCGGTAAATACCAAAACCGATGGTCGTGGACACCGAGACGATGTCGGTGGAAACCGAAACCGCCGTTGGTGGATACCGAAGTCGGCGTTGGTGGATACCAATACCGATGTCGATGGATGCGGAAACCGTTGTGGTGGATACCAAACTATGGTTCCGATACCGAAAGCACTGCCGCCGCGCATTCCAATACATTTGATTTCTTTCCTTACCCGAGGCACGGCCCCCACATTGGCAGTGCGAGCAAATGGCGGCGCGGCGAGAGCAGGGTGAGACGGCAGGCAGGCAGGCGGAGGAGGAGAAGGACGAGGAGGGAGGGGGGGCCATCCAGCCCGCTACGCTAGGCGACTACCGGGAGCTCATCCACCGGGCATCTGTGTGGTAGGTAAGTCTGGGTACGCTGCGTGGGTTGCTCAAGCGAGACTGCCGCTCCGCTTGGCTGGGATGGGCCTCCGGGATTCGGGACGCACTTCTACTGCCGCATATTGGGCCAGTTGGGCTGACGCGCTGCCCGAAATCATTGTGAGGTTCCCTGCGCTGGGACGCAGTGCGTTGTTCTACTTCAACGTGTTGCAAGCGACTAGAGACCTTACCCACGGTACTGCACCACGATGCCTACTTGAGGCCGAACTTGTGGAAGACGCTGTGACGAAGCTGGTTGGACTCAGCGCCCTACTTGGAACGACATTGCAACAGGACAGCGCCCTCCAACACCGGATCCAATTCAATTCGCGCTCGGGGAATGGGAGCACGGATGGCAATATCATGCAACGTACTATGGTGAAAAAACAGCCCACACACAATTATTACGAGATCTGGCATTCCCCAACGTACGCGTCAACGCGGCATCCCCTGGCAAAGCGCGAGTGTTCTCGACAATGGGCAGGTTTTCTTCAGGCTGGTTACTTGTTTGCCCTACGACTGACACACTTACAATCACGGACTTTTATTTTGTATGTGCCGTGCGGCGACGGCTGGGGATTGCGAGCGTGGTCGATGGCCCGGACGTGCATGGGCATAGGCGGTTGGCGGATGGAACAGGGGGAGGATGGCAAAGCCGACGTACTGAACTCATGGCTGCTTGGAGGCAGGTCTTCCGCGAAGCGGGGGGACAAATTCCAGACCGTAACATCGAGCGCCACTTGCATAGTACTAACATACCCGTCCCTGAAGGGGACATGCGCCGAGTGGATATGGTAGTCACATGCACAAGCGCGGCACGGGGATTACCATTGTTCTGCGACGTCACGGTACTGAGCCCAATCACTGGGAGGGGCCGTCCACGTGGTGGGACAAGCAACCGGGGAGGAGCACTATTGGAACAGGCGCAGAGGGAGAACGACACTACCTACAGTGAAGTCATTAGTAGCGGGTTCGGCACGCTGTATTGCTTAGGGGCTGAAGTGCATGGCCGCTGGGGCGAACAAAGCGTCGCCCTCGTGCCAGCCTTAGCGCACGAACGAACCCGCGACCTCCACGAACGGATTCGGTTCGGAGCGGCCCTCGGTTTGCAGCACAGGTGGTGGGGCATCTTGGGATTCGCTTTACAACGAGCGGTCGCGAGACGAGTTTTGGGGCCTGGAGGCGATCTGCCGTATACGCCTCAGGAGCCCGTGTGCCGCCTTGCTGACCTGGAGGTGCTGTAGTCCTCCTCTCCTCCTCCTCCTCCTCCTCCTCCTCCTCCTCCTCCTCCTCCTCCTCCTCCTCCTCCCTCCTCCTCCTCCTCCTCCTCCTCCTCCTCCTCCTCCTCCTCCCCTCCTCCTCCTCCTCCTCCTCCTCCTCTTCCTCCTCCTCCACCTCCTCCTCCTCCTCCTCCTCCTCCTCCTCCTCCTCCTCCTCCCCCCTCCTCCTCCTCCTCCTCCTCCTCCTCCTCCTCCTCCTCCTCCTCCTCCTCCTCCTCCTCCTCCTCCTCCTCCTCCTCCTCCTCCTCCTCCTCCTCCTCCTCCTCCTCCTCCTCCTCCTCCTCCTCCTCCTCCTCCTCCTTTGACGTTGCTTAGCGCGCGTGTGGCGTCACCTTTGTTTCACCGCGCCTTGGTTTTCAAGCGTGTTTTGCACCTGTGGTTCGCGCCCGATGCTGTTGCCTTGGGGTGGCATATTTTCGGAGGGACACCTCCAGAATGTCCCACCACCGGTATAGGAGCCTCATCATAGTCCCACGTCGTATGCGCATTGGGAGGCATCGGGAGCGTTCGCACGCAAGCGCTGGCACCGAAGCTATCGGTTGCTGTCCCCACCGCCCAATCAATTCGCGACCCAAGCATTGCAGGAATCCCGGGCCCGAACTCAAGACTTCATGATCGCTCGTGTTGTTTTGTTGTTCCTCGAGTTCGAGTAACCTCCCTCCCCTGTTGCTCGTCCCCGTTCGGGGCCAATTCAAGCCTTCTGGGCCCGAGGCCGCATTTTGGAGGACCCCAGAGGACACAGACCTCGGTGCTTCCACGGAGCGTTTGGGGGGCGCCGCAGCGACAATTGTCATTCTAGAGTTTTTCTTTGCGGCGGCGAAAACCGAGGATGTCACCTCTTTTCTCGAAATGCGGAGGCTGTGGCATTTTCGAGTACAATGACGTCTTACTTCGAACCGATCGCAAATGCAGAGTTTGCAGCAGACAAGCGCGCCTGTTCGTTCCCAGGAGAAGCCGCTCCAGGTCGTGGTCTCCGGGAGGTCCGCCGTGGCGGGTGCGTTTCGAGGATGAGGCAGCTAATGGTTTGGTCTCCAACGGCGCCACCAGCCCGAAATCGATCTTGAAGAGCACCCAATCCACCTCGGAGAACCAGGATCTGGCGGCGTCGTTGAAGGCCGCCATCGCGCAGACATCCGACGCGCAGATGAAGGCGGTGCTAGAGGCGGAGCTGGCCGAGGTGGAGGTGCAGCCCCCGCCGCCAGCCGCCTCGCCCGCCGATAAGGTTCAGCGCGCGGACGCCGCCTGGAGGGATGCCGAGGTGAAGCACGACCAGGCGGCCAAGGCAGCGCAATGCCTGCGTGGCCAGCTCGAGCAGGCGGAGGCCAAGGAGCAGCAGGCGGCCAAGACGCTGGCTCAAGCCACCATCGCCAAGTCCCAGGCCGCGCTGGCTCTCGCCAAGGCCGAGGGCGTCTTCATCACTCCCGACAGCGGCGGCGGCGACGATAAGGGCTCCAAGTCGTTGTTCCAGCTGTCTTCGGGCCAGGAGCTCTTCGCCAACATTGATCAGCTCGAGCGCGGGCAGAGCGAGAAGGAAGCCTTCGCGCAGCTTGAGAAGGACCTAGTCATCACCAAGGACACGCTGAAGTCCAACGAGGAGGAGGCGCAAGCACGGCTGCGCCGCGCAGCCGAGCTCAAGGCGTCGATCAAAGAGCGCCTCGCCAAGAAGCGGAGGAACAATTCTGATGGGGCCGCGCCGGGGGGCGATGGGCAAGCTGCTGCTTCAGGTCATGCCGCAGCGCCGACGGCTGACGCCGCCTCTCCAGGCGGGGGGCCCTCAGCGGAGCAGAAGGCATCGCAGGCGGCAGCCGAGGGGGAGCGGGCGAGCCAGGTTGAGGCCGAGGCCAAGCGCTCGCCCCGCGCCAAGTTCGCGGCGCTGAACGCCAACCAGCAGGCGCGCGAGGGCAGGGGCAGGAATGGCTCCACCACGGGAGCTCCGCTCGGCAAGGGCGTCGGCGCCAGACCCCAGACCCAGGTGCGACAGGGGCGTCAGCCCTGTTCGTCGCCCGCTACTGCGGCCAGCGCGACGACGGACCCAGCGGCTCCATACAGCAGGCCTACCTCATCCACTACGTCTACAGGCTCGAGTTCGAGCCAGGCTCCGCGGGGCGCTTCTGTTGAGCCACCAGTTGATCAGTTTGATTCGAGCGCTGGCAACGCCCCCAGTTTCACCAACCTTGTTTTCGGAAATGTCACGCGCATGGGCACCAAGGTCTGGCAGTATGTGGCTGAACAGAGAACGCCCACCCAGCACTTTGCATTCGTCGAGAGTCGGCAGGGGACCAGTCCGACAGCGGGGTGACAAAGCAAGGAATCTGGGGCTGAAGCTCTTCTGCAATCCAGCCCGGCCGAAGGGCGCGCAGCGCAGCGAGCTGCCTATGGGGCATGACAACGGAGGGGGCGAGTGGATTCTCACTCATGGGCATCTTCGAGCGCATTCCCTAGACGCAGCCTCTGCGCCGATGCTGCAGCGCGAGTCGGCCGGGTCCAACGACGGCTTCTGCGCGATGACCATCCACGCG